AGCGTGAGTTTAAGCCACCGGGTCCGGGACGCGAACCGTGGTCGACTATGTGGGAGTCCAGTGACATAGCCGTTACGCTAACTGCTGGTCGAGTGTTTGTTTTAAATCAAGCCTAATGGGCTGGTCCTGTAGCCTCGTGATTGAGGGAGCTGCAGTCAGCAGAGGTTCAAACCCCGGCCCTAGCTGCTTCAAAAGATCTCAGGAGCGCTTCTGAGTGTGCTCCAAATCCCATCAGGATGGGCCAGCAGGTGGCAGAGTGGTTAAGGTGCTGAACTCCCACGGTCAACTGCGGTTCAAGTCCCAGACCTGGCAGCTTGAAAGTCACACTGGGGACACATGTGTGCATGCCCAAAATCCTAGGAAGAGAATGGAGAAGGGACTATAGCATGGCCATCCCCCCTTGGGGGGTGCTTTCTCATGGTCTCTGTCTGTCTCTGCCTCTCTTCAGCAAACGCTCCCACCCTCTGGCAAAAACATTTAAAAATTCCCAACAAGATGGAGAAATGGAGGAGGATTGGGCGTGACCAGGCCCCATCGGGGGACGTTTCCTCTCACGCTGGCAAGCACACGTGCCCTCTGGCAATTAAATGACAAAATCCAGCTGTAACCCAGAGCAAGGGCCTCGGCTTGAGCTGTGTGGGGAGCTGCCGGAACAGATGCAGCCCGGACGGCCCCAGTGGGATCGTGGAGAGAGCCAGGCATGGGAGGGGCAGCTCAGGCCCGGCCGGCCTCCAGGTGCGGCGGAGCCTCCGGGGCCAAGTCGGGCTCACCCGCGAGCTTTAGAGCTGCCGAGGCCCCCAAGCACAAGTCACTGAAGTGTCCTGGGCAGGCCCCAGGCGTCGGGTCCTGTCTGCAGAGCTCCTAGTGGTCCCTGGTGTGGCCGAGCCCAGAGGGAGCAGCAGAGGTTGTGGCAGTCAGATGTGGGAGAGGGCAGGGGTTGGGGTACCCACAGCACCCTGAGCAGTCACATGGGGGTGGGGAAGCTTCTCCAGAAAGGACAGGAACAGCCGGTGGAATTGAGACCTGTCGGGAGAACTTCCAAACTGCCAGACTCCGCCCACAGGGCCTTGCAGGTCCCAAGCTCTCCACGGCCACCCACCAGACGAGTGAGTTTGGGGCCTGGGAGGGGCTCTGCAGGGAGGGGCCCCTGCCCTTGGGCTAGGGACCCCCCCCTCTGAGGCTGTGCATCTGGGAGTGCACCTGCTCCCTCCAGCAGGGGTCCCACAGGCTCCCCCAGCACGTAGGCCCGGGCCTCACTCTGACAGCACTGTCAGCGGTAGCGGGGTAATGGGAGCCTCGAGACCCCTGAATCAGACTTAGTTAGAGACGGACCTTACTCACTGGGTCAGCGCCCTCCGCCCTGGCTGCACGTAAGAATCGGGTTGTTTAAATATCCTTGCTCCAGGACCAGTAGATGGCATGGTGGTTAAAGACACTGGACTCTCACAAGCCTGACCACAGTTTAAGTCCTGGACCTGGTGGCTCTCTCTCTCTCTCTTTCTCTCTCTCTCGTGAGTGCACATGCCCTATAGCAAATAAAATAATAATGATAATAATAATAAATAAAATTAAACAATTCTTTAAGAAAAGAAACCTTTGCTCAGACCCCACCCCCACAGGCTCCGGCTCAGACTGTCTGAAAAGGTAGTTTGGGAGGCCCCAGGTGATTCGGACATGCCCCGGGGCTCAGAACCTGGGCCCTCTACTCCTGTAGCTCTGCAAGCAGAAAACCCAGCCAAAGGCCACAGCCCCCGCAGGGCGGCCAGGACCCCAGCTCCCCAGCTCCAGGGTGCCTTCCCTCTACACCAGTTCCCCCTGTGGGGAGTCTGCGGTAACTTTAGAAGGTAAATTCCAGAAGGTTCTGGCTGGAGGCTTTTTATAAGAAGGTTTCAGTAGCCCAGCTCTCTCCCAGGGGTAGGCTGAGTGGGCTGTGCACCCGCGTCGGGCACAGCCCTCGGAGGGCCGGAGCAGGGCCAGCACTGGGGCCATGGCAAGAGGTGAGGGTCCCTCTCCAGTGAGCTCCCACAGAGGGAGGAGACAGACCAGTATGTGGTTGTCCCCAGGGTTGGTGACAGGGCAGTCCTAGGGCTCTGCATCAGCACTGGGGGTGAGAGGAGGCAAACTCCCCAACCGATCACAGGAGGTCAAGGAAGACCTCCTGGAGGAAGTGACATATAACTAAGGCCTAAAAGACTTGAAGTGACTGGAAGAAGAAAGAGACAGATGGGACCAGACTCCCATGTAGTCGACCATGGTTCAAGTCCTGGACCCGGTGACTTAAACTCACGCCGGGCGCGTGTGCGTGCGTGCCCAAGATCCTAAGAGGAGAATGGAGAAGGGATTGCAACGTGGTCATCCCCCCTGGGGGCGATTTCTCTCTTTGTGCGTGTCTCTCTCTGTCTCTCCAGTGAGCACACACACCTTATAGCAAAAATCTCTAAAATAAAATGAAAAACTGTCGCATGTGGCCAGCAGGTTAAGGCACTGAATCCCACATGGCTGACTGCACAGTTCAAGTCCCAGACCTGGTGGCTTAAAACACACCAAGCGTGTGTATGTGTGTGCCCAAGGTCCTGAGGAGAGAGGAGAGGAGAGCGGGAGAGAAGGAACTGTGACATGGCCACCACCTCCCAGGGGTGCTATCTCACCTTCCCTCTCTGTCTCTCTCTGGCAAGTGCACACACCCTGTAACAAAAGCTGGAAACCTTGCGTGTGACCAGGAGCTTCACCCAGGCGGCTACGGAGAGAGCTCCATGCACCTGGGGCTAGCCCAGAGCGCCCCGCCGCTGGCTCCTGCAGGGCCGGCCTCGGTCCGTGTGTGCATGCGTGTGTGTGCCCCTGTGCACACTGAGAGCCTCTCTGTCCCTCCACATGATTCGACTGCAGGTGTGTGCGCACGTATGTGCATGCATGTAGACACAGCGAGGAGAGGCTGGCCCACACACGCCCCCCCTGGCTGCGCCTCTCTGGGACACTCATACCGACGCAGGCATGCTGCGGAGCCCGCCCTCCAGCGCCCAGCCTGAGCTCACAGGTAGGGCCAGGACGCGGTCGACAGCACAGGTCTGCCTCGTCCAGAGCTCTCTGCGGCCTCCCCGAGGCACGGCCAGAGGGCACCAGAGAACTCCACGGGAAGGGCCCCAGACCCCCACGGGACAGGAGAGGGCATGCTGCGTGACAGCTGGGTGGACCGACTGTGAGGGCCGCCCGCTCACACTGAGTGGGACACGCGATCACCTCGTAGCCGCTTTTCGGCTGTGACCCCAGTCCCGGGAGTTAGCCCTGCTCTGAGGGCTGGAAGTGGGCTTCGGCCGCCACCGCGGGTCGGGCTGGGACGGAGAGAAGGAAGGGGCAAGGCGGGCACGCCCCTGCTCGCTCCCAGGAGGCTCACCCCCCTGTGCACACCCTCCCCGGCCTACCCCTCTCCGTCTGGATGTGCACTGGTGTGACCGGCAGCAGCTATGGGCGCCAGCGCTGAGGGGAGCCCACCTTCCCCCAGTGCCATGAGACAGCCACGGGGCTGGTCCTCATTACTGGGATCGTGGTGACAGTCTAACCTGTCCCCATCTCCTGGTCCTCGAGACATCCTTGCAAGAAGGGAGGAGAGGAGGAGGAGAAGGAGGAGGGCCGATGAAGAGCCAGGTGGGAGAGAAAAGGTCTCTGCATTTTAGAAATGGGTTTTCAAGCCCCCAGTGCCCTGGGAGGACTCCCACCCTCTGGTCCAACCAGGGTGCCAGCAGCCTGCTGGCAGGGCTCCTGGGTTTGGTCTGCATCCCAGGCCTCTGCAGGGGGGAGCTGCTGACAGCTCTGGGAGAGGCCCTCCCAGGTTCGCTTCCCCATGGCATCTGTACGCCAGCCAGAGCATTGACAGTGGGCCCGGCTTTGCTCTGGAGTCTGAGGGCAAGAGCAGGCACTTTCCTAGAGAAAAAGACAGCTTCAGATGTGCTGGCGAGGGAGTGGGAATGCCAGACCCGGATGTAAGTAGGCAGGGCTACCTCTGGGGAACACCAGCGCCCCTGGGACCTGCAGCATCGACTGCAAGCTTAGAAATGCAGGCTCAGGGGACCAGCAGTTAGCGTAGTGGTTATGTCGCTGGACTCCCATGTAGTTGTGGTTCGAGTCCCAGACCCAGTGGCTTAAACTCACACTGGGCATGTGTGCATGAGTGCCCAAGATCCCGAGAGGAGAATGGAGGAGAAGGGATAGCGGCGTGGCCATCCCCCCTGGGAGGTGATTTCTCACTTTTTGTCTCTCCGTCTCTCTCTGTCTTTCTGGTGAGCACACGCACCCTATAGCAAAAATCTCTCAAAAAAAAAAAAGGAAAGAAAGAAAAGATGCAGGCTGGGGGTCAGCAGGTGGTATGGGGGTTAGGCACAGGGCTCCCACATGGCCAGCCAAAATTCAAGTCCCAGACCGCAGCTGGAAAATCATGTCAGACATGTATGTGTGCGTGTGTGCCCAAAGTCCCAAGAGAAAAAGGGGGAGATGGCATTGCAGCATGGGCATCCCCTCTGGGGGGTGATTTCTCCCTTTCTCTCTCTCCACCTCTCTCTGTCACTCTGCAGAGTACACACGCCCTATGGCAAATAAAATAAAATCAGGTGGACTCCAGGCCGCACCCGGGGACCCCTAACCTTCCCTGTGACAAAGTCCTCCATGCCCATCCGAGTGGAAAGCCCTGCTCTGGGATCGTAGTTGTCAGAGTGACCTGCCTCCCCGGGAGCGGGCTGGAAATGCAGGCTCCCGGCCCCAGCCGGCCTCTGGGTGGGAGCCTGCCCTCTCGCGGTCCCAGGGACTGCGTGACCCTGGCGTGGACGCCACTGCTCCAGGCCCTGCGGCAGCAGCTCCCCGGGTCCTGACGGCCCTCTGCTCTCCCCTGGCAGATCTGCGGGATGGTTCTCACCTGCTGCCTACACCAGAGGCTCCAGCGGCGTCTTGACTGATGCCGAGCACGTGCCCTTCCGACCACGCCTCACCCGGCGGGTGCCCATCCCCTCCTGCCAGCCTGCCCTCTGCACCAGCCGGACAGCCGTCGCTGCCCTACTACGTGCCCAGTCCCTGTGAGCCCAAGTGCCTGAGACTGCAGCTCCTGCTGTCTCCCCATTCCTGAGTACTCACTGCCCGAACCTGGGCAGGGGGCTGTCTGCAGGAGTCAGCCAGAGCCTCTCCAGGCGTGGGGCCCCAGGGCGCTCTCCCCACCCCAGCCCTGCACATCTGGGCCCTCTAGGAGATGCATGAGGTGGAGCAGTGAGACCTGCCTGCCACCCCCCCACACCGTCACCTGCAGAGCCCTGTCCAGCCAACTGTGTCCCTCCTGCGGGGCTGAGCAGGAAAGGTGGGAGCAGGGACGAGGCGCAAGGTGGCCACAGCAGCCAGCTGTACAGAGACGCCCTGGGGACTGCCTGGGCCACCGTGGAGCTCCTTCAGCCGGCTTCATCCAGCTCTCCTCGGGGTGGAGCACCCCCACGTGGCCAAACCGTAGGCTCTGCAGGGCATGGAGGGTGTGCCCCAGCCTCATCCTCCCGGGGCCCTCCCTGACCACGTGGCCTCCACACTGCCTCGAGGGGGCTCCCCGCTCTGCCCTCCAGTCCCTCCTCCCGTTGGTCCTCTCTGCATTGTTGATTTAGCCTAGGGGTCTTCAGGAATGGTTTTCCTAGGAACTAAAAGAGAACGAAGAACAGGCTAGAACACACGGAGTGTAGACCCTGGCAGCTTCCCAAGAAAAGAGGCCAACCTGAGGAACAGCCACAGCCCCGCCCCACGACGGTACAGGGGGCAGCTCAGGACACGGGACCCCGCACCCCTCCACAGCCCCCGGGGCCCGTGTTTCTCCATGAGGGGCACCCCTTCCTCCCCACATGAAAGGAGCAGCCCACTGGGCCAAGGTGGGGCAAGAGAGGTCACGCCTTGCACCCCGCTTGGTCCAGGTCACAGTCTCACCAGTGCAGCTTCAGGCAGGCCTGGGGACGGGGCGGCCTCTCCCCCATACACTGTCACCAGCACAGCCCTGCCCTGTCCAAAAGCTGCATCCTCCGAGCAGGGGTGCCCACACGGACAGAGGGAAGACCAGCTGGTGGGAGCCACCACCTAGAAGGTCCAGGAAGAGCAGCTTCCCTGCAATCCCAGCTGCACCGTGGCCGAGAGAAACGGCCTAACGTGTTAGCTTTGCGGTCCCAACCTCCGGGGTCCCACAGGCACCAGGAGCTGACCCAGCTCTGGGCCCTCTGGAGGGCTGACGTCCACCAAGTCGTACAGAGTCAGGGCTGCAGGACGGGGTGCCATGTCTGCTGGCGGGCCCCCCACTGCCCTGGAGATGGAGGTAGAGGGGACAGCAGGGCCACCTGCACAGCCGCACCCCGAGGGCAGGCCGTGGGCTCGGTGAGGCTGGCCTGACCAGGCAGGATTAGCTGCATGATCCCTGCGGCTGGGGCCGGGCTGGTCCTGGCAGCAGAGTGAAGACCACCCAGGGCCTGCTGGAAGTACAGCCGCCTGTTCTTGTCGGCAGCGTGGGAGATGACAGGACTAGGGGAAACGCAGGCCGGGAATAGGGCAACTTCTGCCCGGGAGGGTGCCGAGGGGGTCTGGGCCAAGGAAGCAGTACCCAGTGGGGTGTGTCCCCCTGCTGGCCAGGATGCAGAGCAGGCACTGACACCTCCCAGGGCCTGGGGAGCGTCACAGCCAAGACACCTGGAGAGGGGATAGGCCTCTAGAAGACACTATCATCTCTGTGTGGGCTAAAGGCCCCTGGACACAGGACCCACCAGAACTGACACTGGAACCACCCCACTCAGGCCCCGCGTCCTCACCAAATAGCCGCACTTGGGGAGTGGCCTGCCCCAGGCCCCGATGGGTGGTGTGTGCTGCGGGAGTCAGGAATGAAACCTGAGCTTTGGTGAGGGGGTGCCATGTTTGGGCCCATTCTCTCCCCAACAGTCCAGCCCCAATCTGGGAGCCCCTCAGGGGTGTCCAGGGGCTTTACTGGGGACGGACTCTGCTTAGAATGGGCAGGCCCCAACAGGAGGGTATGTGTCCCCATTTTGCAGGTGGGGAGGCTGAGGCTCTGAAGGCAGGAGGCTGCTGATCAGCAGTAATGGCCATGGCTATGCCCCTGCCCCCCCAAGCTGGTAGACCCAGGCAGCTGGGCTGGGAGCCCCCTCAGCCTCCGCCATGCTCCATCCCTATAGCAAGCCAGCAGAGAGCACAGCACCCCTCCTGGGGTGTCATCAGACCCCTCACAGCGCCTGGCACCAGCTGCCCCCAGTCTGCGGTCGAGGGACGTCTAGTTTCTCTCAGGCCCACAGAGTGGCTCAGGCAGCAGGAAGGGTCCTGCCCACTCCCAGGTGCCAACATAACACCAGTGGGAGCAGGGATATCCCTCAGCTCTCTCGGTCCACCAGAGGCAGACCCACGCCCACCCGGGGATGCCGCCTGGGGCAGAAGGGCCTCTCCCTACCCCACATGGGGCAGAGAAGACCTGGGGTCTCGGCCACGATCAGGGCAGGCAGGGGCACCCTGGGTGGGTGTTCTGCTCAGCTCCTTGGATGAGGCTGTCCCTGCCTTCTTTCCCAGCACTGGGCTCTCTCGGATGACGTTGTCCCAGGGAGCGTTCAGAGCCAAGACCAGTGTGGCACTTGGGGCGGAGGGTGACAGGCCCATGTGTGGGCCCCAGGACGCGCATGCACTGGGATAAGCTCGCTTCTGGGCTTGGAGGGCAAGGAGGGAATGGGGACACCTATCCCCACACACTCCACCGCAGCCTGGAGAACATTCTCTGCTCCCCGGCTGCTTCCTGCCTGACCCGGAGGGGGAGGGAGGGGAGAAAGGGAAGCCGGTAGACTGGCTAAGGGGAGAAGCAGCCATCACACCGCCACCGGGTGGCGCTCACTTCCACCGGGACCAAGTGTGGAACCCAGTGTTCAAAGTTGAGGGAGCATCAGGACGGCTGGGGGCCTTTCCCCTCCCCAGAGTGTCCAGTCAGGACTGCGGGCATAATGACTTATAGTTCTTTCTTTTTTAAAGAGATTTTTTGCTGCAGGGCACATGCGCTTGCCAGAGAGACAGAAAGTGAGAAATCTCCCCCCAGGGAGCATGGCCAGCACAATCCCTTCTCCTCTGGGCTCCTGGGCACAATTTGCATTTCTAAGTCACACCCAGGCCATGCCAGTGCTATGGGACCTGGCCTGCACTGAGAACCCTGCTTCAGGCCACTCCGGAGCAGGCAGCCGCTGCCTTCCTCCTCGTGCCACAGCCTCAGGTCCAGAGCCCTCCCGTCATCCGGCCAAGTCCCACTGAGACCAGCCCCCCTCTGCGTGAGCAGCTGGTGAGGCAGGCGTGGCGGGGAGGGGG